GGTCAAGAAATGAGCGAATCGCTGCCAAAGCAAGCTTCGTCGCGAGTCGACGGTGTGCAGAACCGATGACAATTGGCCGGAGACCAGGTTTATCAGCTCCCTTGGAGAGGGGAATAAATCTGCCTCCTCGACGAATGGCTGACAGGGCAGGAATAAGAAGATCCGGCATCCGGCCAAGAAGGACCCCTTGGAGGATATGTTTGCAGTAGAGCTTCAAAGCTGCAGGATGACTAGAAAGGGGTGACAGGTGTTGCCGAATCCTCCACCCTTGGTCATCGGTCCCCGCAAAGGAGCTGTAGCGCTTGATCGCCTGGATCAGGCTAGTGGTGTCGAGGATGTCAGTCAAATCCACCTGCAGTACTGCAAGCGCTTGCTGGGTGAGATGATCCGCGGAAGCACTTCCAAAGGCAGGCGACACACCATCAGGGAACTTCTCTTGTGCTTCAGCAAGAAGATCAGCGAAAGATTCAGCCCTGTAGATGCCGGAGCTCAGTAGTGTCCGTACCGCCCGATGAAGGTCACCCGCAGTGAACTGATGAATCGCCAACTGTCTTTGGCGCTCGCTCGCAGAGGTGAGGGACAGCGTAGGTCGCGGCGGAGGGGCAGGCTCAGACTCCTGAGACGATTGGCCGGACTGCCGCTGCTCCCTCGGCCCGCGCGGTTGTGGTCGCTGCTGTGGTGGTTGCTGGTGTTGCTGCTGCTGCTGCTGCTGACGCGGACGCTGCGGCTGACGCTGGCGTTGCTGCTGCTGCTGCTGCTGCTGCTGCTGCTGCTGTTGCTGCTGCTGCTGACGCGGGTGCTGCGGCTGCGGCTGCTGCTGCTGCAGTTGCTGTTGGTGGCGGTGGTGTTGCGGCTGCGGCTGCGGCTGCGGCTGCGGCTGCGGCGGCTGCGGATGTGGCTGCCGCCGCCGTTGCAAGATAGGATTTACTGGCAGCAGATAAAAAGTGCCTCAAGCAAAACAAAGCAGGAACAAGCTGAACCGGCAGGTACACAGTCCACAGCGAGAAGCTGCACAATCACACACAAAACACAAGCCCGAAAACAACCAGCACTGCTGGCACCCAGACGCGGCAGCGCCAGCCCAAGCGCGAAGCCGCGCAGACAAGCAGCCTAAGGGTCAAGCAATCATTGCTGTTTCTGCCGTTGCCGCCGCCCTCGCGAGGGCTGCTGGGGCGGTTGCAGCTGCTCCGACTCCTGCAGCTGCTGCTGTGGGAGGGACGAGGGCTGCAGGTGCCGAGGTGACCGCCGAAGTTGCTGCTGCTGCTGCTGCCGCTGCTGCCGCTGCTGCTGCTGCTGCTGCTGCTGCTGCTGTCCTTGGGGCGGTGAAGGCTGCCGCGCCCCCTTTGCTTGCTTCTTCCCATGGGTTTCTGCAGCAGGCAGATTGAAAAGAGCTTTCCATTCACCCTTCAAGAAACGTCGGCACTGGCGCTTGATAAGCGCGTCCTTGGTAGGACCATTGGCAGAGTTGGGTACGGGAAGCAGTAAGGCGGGAAGGTGCTCAAAGAGCAGAACAAGGGTCTGATAGCTGGACGAGGAAGGATCATATCGATCGATGAATTGCAGCAAAGACACAAGACAAGTCAGCCAAAGCTCTGCAGTCTCACCAAAGAGGTGAGACGCAGTGACATGAGGACGAAAGCGCTCATGAATATAGAGGAAGACTCGGAGGTTGGACATCAACCACTGCAAGCCCTTCGGCCAATCTGAGGTCGCCATAGGTGGAACCGGGGGCACATCCGTAGCAGAATCAGGGTCGGCATCAGCAAGGTCAGGTTGAAGCAAAAACAAAGCAGGAACAAGCTGAACCGGCAGGTACACAGTCTCAGCGGATCTCGAGGATTTACTGGCATAAGGTAAAAAGTGCCAGCGGTGTATAGGATTTACTGGCAGAAGATAAAAAGTGCCTCAAGCGGTAGCCGAGTCAGCGGTAGCCGCCCGTGACGGCGGCGACGCCGCAGCAAGGCGAGCTCGGACCAGCAGCAAGCACCCCAGTGGTGTCGAGCTCTCCGGAGGCACCCGACGTCACAGGACAGTAGGATTTACTGGCAGAAGGTAAAAAGTGCCTGAAGCAAAACAAAGCAGGAACAAGCTGAACCGACAGTGAGGGACGGAGACGCCTCGCCAGCTCCGCGCCGATCGTCGGCGCCACTCGACGTGTTTCCCCCATCATGATCGGAGTCGGAGACCTCCGGCGAAGACTCCCCCTCGGCCGACTTGACAAAGTCCGAGGAGGAGCTGTCCTCTGGCTCGAGAAGTGCTTGCGCCCGCAAGGGCGTCATGCGCCTCGCACCAGACAAGAGCGCCTCCAGCGTCAGCTGCATAGTGAGGCGCTGATACTACTGAGGTGGCGGCGCGTTTGCGAGCCAATACCTCAGCAGCAGGGCCGTCATCAGGCACGAAGTGCCGACCAAACGCCGCATCCTCAAGAGGCATCGAGCGCTGAGCAATGATGTCCGCCAGATACCAGATGAAGCGGAGGGTGTCAGGATGCAGGGTACCGTCCGTCGAGATGGCAAGAGGGATGAACGCTCAAGGAGGAGTATAGGATTTACTGGCAGAAGGTAAAAAGGTATAGGATAGAAAAAGTGCCTCAAGCAAAACAAAGCAGGAACAAGCTGAACCGGCAGGCACACAGTCCACAGCGAGAGCTCTCGAGGATTTACTGGCATAAGGTAAAAAGTGCCTCAAGCAAAACAAAGCAGGAACAAGCTGAACCGGCAGGCACACAGTCCACAGCGAGAAGCTGCACAATCACACACAAAACACAAGCCCGAAATGAACCAGCACTGCTGGCACCCAGACGCGGCACCGTCAGCCCAAGCGCGAAGCCGCGCAGACAAGCAGCCGAAGGGTCAAGCAATCAAGCAACAAGCAGCAGGAGCATGCAGGAGGAATAAAATCCCCTAAACGCGATACCCGGAGGCAGCCGACTGACCACTGTCAGTCGAGACGTCCGCTGCCGCCACAAAGCGGGCGGCCGCGGACGGAGAAAGGGCAGCCGCCGACAAGGAGCCGGAGCTGCCCGGGGGTCCGCCTGGGGCAGCGGACGGAGGGAGGCTGGACACATGAACACGGTACCGCTCGAGGTAGTCCTCCTCGCTAGCCTCCGAGTCAGCGGTAGCCGCCCGTGACGGCGGCGACGCCGCGGCAATGCCCAAGGACCGGCGTGACCCGACCGATGCCGGGGAGGAAGCAGGCGAGCTCGGACCAGCAGCAAGCACCCCAGTGGTGTCGAGCTCTCCGGAGGCACCCGACGTCACAGTGAGGGACGGAGACGCCTCGCCAGCTCCGCGCCGGCCCATAGTGAGGCGCTGATAGGTGGCGGCGCGTTTGCGAGCCAAGACCTCAGCAGCAGGGCCGTCATCAGGCACGAAGTGCCGACCAAACGCCGCATCCTCAAGAGGCATCGAGCGCTGAGCAATGATGTCCGCCAGATACCAGATGAAGCGGAGGGTGTCAGGATGCAGGGTACCGTCCGTCGAGATGGCAAGAGGGATGAACGCTCGAGGAGGAGTAGTCATGGCATATGCAGCGCGATGTTTGCGAATCTTCTCAGACGCTGCAGCATGGAGGGATATAGGATTTACTGGCAGAAGGTAAAAAGGGCGTCGAGGTTGACCTCCCCCCACTTGGTCAGGTCGGCAGAGCTACCGATGTAAGGGTGGACCAACGTCACGTCCGCCATCAAGCCCTCGTACTGCTCGGACCCTCGATCGCGGATTCCAGGGATGTGGATATCGCCCTTCATCTTGCGGCCATGAGGATGGGAGGGTACCTGCCGTCGAGAACGAGGATCCCCCACTGTATCGATGACACTCTGAAGACCAGCTTCGTTCTGAGCATCGACCGAATCGTACGAGTATGGTTGTCATGCGCCGTGGGAAGCTTGGAGGATCGGCGTTTGCAGGTCTGGAGATGATGTGCAGCAACGGAGGGATCGAGCTCGCGCTGACATCCATCACATTTCGTCGGACACTGGCAGATCGGCATGCCATGGAGATAGCAGTCGAGCATCTGAGCATAGCGGTGCGGGAAGGCCTTGAGGGGGTAGTAGCTCGAGACTCGCATCGGAGAGTGGCTCAGGTCTCGCTCAGGAAAATGAGCGAAGATGGAAGACCCTATCCTGCGACTTGAGCGAGTGTGTCCTGCGGCTGTGCAAGGTGAGGATATCACACTGCTGATCGGTCAGCGCAGCGCGAGCATGCACATGGCGGCGAGGACGGTATAGGATAGGGAAGACGCGCATGACACGAGGAGTCACATTCCCGTGCCAGGCGGGGAATGAAGTGTTCTGAGGCGAGCGGACGAGGGGGCGGCAAACCAGGGGAGTGGGTACCAAAGATGCCGGGGGGCGTCCTGCGTCATCAGGCACCATATATACTGGCAGAAGGTAAAAAGTGCCTCAAGCAAAACAAGCAGGACACAAGCGGAACCGGCAGGCACACAGTCCAGGCACAGCAGCCGGGGCAGGTGGGATCGCCGCGCCATCTGCAGCCGGTGCAGGAGCCTTCACACGACGGTAGAGGATCGCTCCAGCATTATGAACGAAGTCGTGCGCCTCAACGAAGAAGGTCGCCAGAGGATGCTTCTGGGCACGGAGAGATCTCGAGCGTTCATCCCTCTTGCCATCTCGACGGACGGTACCCTGCATCCTGACACCCTCCGCTTCATCTGGTATTTGGCGGACATCATTGCTCAGCGCTCGATGCCTCTTGAGGATGCGGCGTTTGGTCGGCACTTCGTGCCTGATGACGGCCCTGCTGCTGAGGTCTTGGCTCGCAAACGCGCCGCCACCTATCAGCGCCTCACCATGCAGCTGACGCTGGAGGCGCTCTTGTCTGGTGCGAGGCGCATGACGCCCTTGCGGGCGCAAGCACTTCTCGAGCCAGAGGACAGCTCCTCCTCGGACTTTGTCGAGTCGCCCGAGGGGGAGTCTTCGCCGGAGGTCTCCGACTCCGATGGGGGAAACCCTTCGAGTGGCCCCGACGATCGGCGCGGAGCTGGCGAAGCGTCTCCGTCCCTCACTGTGACGTCGGGTGCCTCCGGAGAGCTCGACACCACTGGGGTGCTTGCTGCTGGTCCGAGCTCGCCTGCTTCCTCCCCGGCATCGGTCGCCGGGTCACGCCGGTCCTTGGGCATTGCTGCGGCGTCGCCGCCGTCACGGGCGGCTACCACTGACTTGGCTACCGCTGACTCGGAGGCTAGCGAGGAGGACTACCTCGAGCGGTACCGTGTTCATGTGTCCAGCCTCCCTCCGTCCGCTGCCCCAGGCGGACCCCCGGGCAACGCCGGCTCCTTGTCGGCGGCTGCCCTTTCTCCGTCCGCGGCCGCCCGCTTGAGGCGGCAGCGGACGTCTCGACTGACAGTGGTCAGTCGGCTGCCTCCGGGTATCGCGTGTAAGGGATTT